GAAACTGTAGCAGGAAAAAAGGAGTACTATAATGGCAGGAAAGGAGAAGTGGATAGTCTGAGGGAATTTTTTTTTTTTTAATGGAAGAATCCAGGGAGAGTTGCTGACTAGCTAACTGTGGACAGGGATTGTTTCATTGTATGGTAGTTTAGTTCAGTGGTACCCTAATCCCTTCAGAAAAGCAAACTGAATTTTGGAAGTGTTTAAAGGTAAACCAGCAGCTGGTTTAAAGGTAAACCAGCAGGGGAAATGAACTCAACTCAAAAGAGAGATTATAAATCAGAATAACAATTTAATAAAATAATACAATAAGTACAATTATACAGACAAACAATTGGTTTTAACCCACAAAACCCAAATGGATAACCCAGCACCCTGGGGCATGAACAGAGTGGTGTTCTTTGGGCCCCCTGAGTCCAAAGGAAAAGGAGAGGGGAAAACCTGTTGATGAGAGGGCTGTTGCAGTCTGGTCAAAAGTGGTGATTGCAGTCCAGTTGAGGGTGGTGGTCTCAGTCCGGTTGAGAGCGGTGAGCTGCAGTCTTCCTCTGGATCCCACGAGTGGAAAAAAGGTTCTAAAACTCCAAGTTTATATATTCTCCAGTTCAGGCAGGAATCATAGAATCATAGAATCATAGAATCATAGAATCGATTGGGTTGGAAAAGACCTCCGAGATCATCGAGTCCAACCCTTGGTCCGAATGGTCAGTCCTTCCCTCAGAGCGGGGAATTCCATAAAAGGGTATGAGGACAGGAGCATCTTCCTATCTCACAGGCCTCTTAATGCCTAGTTTATAGCCTGAGGAGTCAGGCTGCTCTGGGCAGAGGGTGTAAATGCTCTATTGATAACAGTTTCTGGGAAATGGCATGGAAGGCTATAGAATACACAGTTTTGGGTTACACCCATACCATGATGAACTGGTCTCAGCTGTCCTAACTAGGACAGGAAGAAGTTTTTTTCTGTAGAAAATATTGATGTTCGATTTTGAAAATGAAAAACCATTTTTATTGCAGTCCTGTAAAGTATGCCCAACTTTTCTTTTTTTGAGAAGCACAGTATTAAAAGTACTGTTGTTATTTTCCAGATATTTTGTTCCAGCTGGCTGTTCTCCTGCTAGTATCTCTCTGCATAAAGATTAGCGTTATTCCCAGATAAGACATTTATCTGTTACGATCATTTTGTCTAAGCCAAGGCTATTTTTGCTTCTGTAGAAAACATACTTATTATATGCTGTTTCTGTGTTTAATAGCCTGTGTACTTTGAAAAGAAGAATTGGAGTTCTAGACTGTCTGCTTGCCTTAATTTCAGTATGTTGTGAAAACTGCTGTAGTTTAAAGGCTCCTGTTTGTGGTAAAGAAGTGAGAGGTCATTTCAGCATCACACACGCTCATGATTTCCTTGGCAGTTTTGATTGTGTTTACTGCCTAATTAGCTCTTCAACAGGCCCCCTAACATTATTTTAAATATTTCTAGATGTTAATCATGCAAGAAAAATAATGATATATTAAGTTAATTCTTACAGTGGCGACACTGACCTTGACGCTGAGTTATTCTACTCTGCTTTCCTGTCAGTCAGGCAAAATCTTACAGTTGAAGGAAGGGCTTAGTACAAGATTTTGTCATAAACAGCAGGATTGCCTCTCCTCTAGCCTCTGGACCAAGATATCTTAGCCTTTCTTTCAGATATTTGAGCAAGATAAAAACTGAGTAAAATACAGATTACTGTAAAGGACAAATAGTAAAGGTGGCTGTTAGAGATGCCCTACACTTGATAAGGTACAGAATGCTGAGGGACTGATGTGAATAGGAATCACAATATTGGCTCTTCATGTTTTTGATCTGGTGCACATTTAAAACAACAAGGAAGTACAAGCATTAATAACAGCACTTCTCACGTACCTTTCTCCTTCTAGACTAAACTGTCTTGTTATTTAAATCTTTTTGGCTTGGGATCAAAACTTAAACAAAACTGTCTTAGTGTGTGGACAAAATACAAATGATTGCCTTTTTTTCTTGGGAAGCTCAGTGGGATTCATCTGAAATGAAAATTAATGCAGTCTGGGAAAGGCCTAGTGTCTGACAATGGATTTTGAGACTAGTTTTAAACCCCCGTGTCCTAGTTCCAGCCAGGACAGAGTTAATTTTTTTTTTTACAGTAGCTGGGCATAGTGACACACGTGTAGTCCCAACTGCCCAGGGAGGCTGAGCCCATGGAATTGCTGTAGCACAGGAGTTCTAGGCTGCAGTTTGCAGTGCTGAGTGGGTGTGGCCAAGACCCGAATGTTATTCAATACCATCTTACATCATTGCCAGGGTGTTGTGGAAAGGGACTCTTTCTCTCAATTCTGAGGAAAAAAAGAGTTCCTTTTCAGTCATGGGGAAGGCATGGCAAGTGGAGGGTCTGTCTGCAATTGTTTTTCATTGTCCTGGGCTTGGTGAGAATTCTTGCATGTAAATCACACTCTCTTTGTACATTTTTGCTATTAGTATTGTTGCTGTTACTGTTAATTTTCTTATTGCTGTTTTCAGTAAATTCTTGTCTCAGACTGCGATTTCTGCCTTGTGTATCTCCTACTGAAGAGGGAGGGGAGTGACTTGTGGTTTTCTTTTTAGTGGGAGTACAATACCATTCCTAAACTGCAACGTTCTATGAAGAAGTACATTATTTAACCAAAGAGTGATGATGTTCCCCAGTTTTAGAAAAACTTGATTAAAAAACAAATTTTTTTTCCTTAAAATTCTCTGTTGTTCTAAGCATCTTACTTCTTTTGAAGTATTGATTTCTGTGATGATGCCCTAAAATTGTGCTACAGTTCTGAAGCTGAAAATTGTTTAGCATACTGGCTTCTAGAGTGGGTTAATACAGAGTTTCTAAGAGAGTTTTGTGTAATATATGTCTACTAGACAAAATAGGTGTTGCTGAAGCATTTTGGTGATGGCTTGTTTGGAGCTGTCTTCGTGGTGCTGGAATTCTGGAAACCTTCTTGCAGTTTTGTTACAGTGTTTGTAGTTTGCATTTTAGCCTGAGAGATTTTTGTGATCAGGAAAACTAGCACTAGGAAATGTCTGGTTTTATCCCAGGATATTTTTCAATGTGGAAAACATTAAAGAAATAAAACACACCCATTTAAATGGAAAGTTTGTACAACTTAGTTTTTTGCATGCACTTTTTAATTCTCTTTTTGCTGTCCAGAGGAGAAGGAATTAATCTTTTGAGGTCATAGATATAAATCTCTCTCTGACTGTATATGTCATACTGGTATATTTCAGGATTGACATTAGTGGAATATCAAAGATGTGTTTGTTGCAATCGGTGTGTTAAGCTTTTTATGGCATCCTTTTAGTTGAGGATGATGGAAGCCTATATAGAAAGGGAACCTGAATTTGATAGAAACAGGCAGAGAGAGCAGATGGGAAATTAATTCAGGTTTTCCAGTTCTTGGAAATGTTATCCTAGATAATTGGGTAAGAAACCACAGCTTTATTGTATGGTTTTCTTCTAGTCTTGGGCAGGCTGTTAGCAAATTGGATGAAAAAATGTTTATGGGTTCTGCTTTCCAGTTTAACAAAGAACAATAGCACATTTTGAAGACTTATTGGGAAGTGTTAAAGACTGTCGTGGGCTGCTGTTGGGAACTCTCTAGCTCCCAAGACAATCACTTCCAGAGATCTCAGCAACTCTCTGTAGATCTACTGTTAAAAATAAGGTTACAGAGCTGAGGCATCTTGATTTCCTGGCAAACCTGTACTTCTCTATCAGAGTACAAATCCTTTGTCAATGGTTACACACATACCCACTCCATAGTTGTCTGAGGTGACAAGATTAATGAGGTGGGAATTAGTGATTTCAAGAAACAAATGTTTAGGCCATGTGGCCTGGTGATGTTTTTCATTTGATCTGTTCAGTCAAAACCTTGCATTGTGTTTTTGAACCTAAATTTGATTAAAAATAGAAAGTCTATTGAATTGTTGCTTTGAATCACCTTGTTGGTCTTCTAAGAAAAGTCAGTTGGTTTAGTAGTGTGATTGTCTCAGTTTTGCATTGTTTTCAGAGATAACTAAGAATTTAAGGTGGACATATTGCCAAGACAGTATACAGCCTCTTGTCCTGTTTCTTGACAGTGGCTGAAAGTAAGCAGAATGTGCTTGTCCTCTTAATATAATTCCCTGAATATTCTTGCTGCTTGTTGGTAGCTCAGGGGCTTCATGAGCTGGAGATGTGGTCTGCCTAATTAGTACCTGTGGGGACACGGTCCATACTGAGTGGCAGTGCTCTGACTGGGGATCTGGCCTTCTGTGGCCTGAGCTTTCCTTCCCACAGTAAGTAGTGAGCACAGGCAGCACCTGGGGGGGGGGGTTACATCCACTGCTCCCTGAGAGCCCCATGTGAGCAATCCTGAGGAATAGCTGGCCTGGACCTTGGTGATCTCCGCTAATTTGGGACACTGGGTAAAGATACTTTCTTGGGAATTGAGTGATATCTATTGGGTAGATTGTAAGGAATTTTGGAAGAGAAGCAGAATAGTCCTCGCTCACGTAGTGGTGTAATTGTTATCCACATAATAAGTGTCTTATTCCAATAAACCTCACTTTGTCCCTTAGTCATAGAACATTATTCCTTAAAGGGGTAGATAGAGGCATATTTTTATTTATTATTTTTTTTTACTTTTTGTTTAACTAGCTTTCAGAATTTAGGTTTCTTTGGTTCAGAACCACCATTCTGGATATTTGTATCTCTTGTATCTTTAATTGTGCTTCTATGTAGGAAAAGGTACAGTTGTGAGAATACTGAAGACATGAATTTGCCTATGAAATTGTAGCTTGTGGAAGGGTGATGTGAAGGACTAGGAAGTGAGTAGTAGGAATTCTGTTCTGATGAAATCACCTGTGATCAGGGCTGTAGTGTTTTAGGGTGGCAAGAGCATTATAGTAAATTTTGTCCATTGCATTGCCTCATCTGAAATGTCTCCTCTTTTTAACTCACTCTTTCTTAACTTGACAGGCAAGTATTTGCTTCCCAGTGCAACTGGACAGCAGCTGTGGCAACCTATAGAAACCTCAAATCTTGTTCGCATGCGCTACCAAACACTTGGACAGTCAGCACCTTCACTTACTGCTAGTTTGGTGAGTAATTCTTTTCAAAGCTAGAAATGTACCAAAAAAAAAAATATCTCTGTATCTATTAGTGGGGGAATGGATATCAAAGCAGAAGTTTATTTCCAGACCAACCTCTCCTCCTTAAGCAGCATTTTTAAAATATCTAATGCATGTATGCATATAACATTACTTAGTATGTTGAGTGCAGCTGAGTAACATTTATGGTAGCAGTAACTCTGAATTGGGTTACTGGATTCTACGTAAAGTCTGAGCTGAATGTTTCATTAATATAGGTGTTTGCATATAAATGGTTTCCTATTTTAAACAGGACAGCTGTCTTCTATTGCTTTCTCCTGAACATTCTTTTCTATCAATGTCTTTCCACTTCCTGCAGTACTCTGTCCTTAGGAGGACATAGGTGTATGAAGCATGAGCTTAATTAAAAATTTTGGATAAAATGATAAGAGAGAAAGGGGAAGAGATGTGTCATACACTTGAACTTCCAGCTTTTTGTTTTCAAGCATCCATTTTGCTGCTTTGTGCTTCTGCATGTTAATATCTTAAGAAGTGTTGAAATTGAATGTGGGACTCTGTGTACTAGCCTATACTTTTCTTCAAAGAGTTACTTTAATATATTTCTTGCTATATGGGGGCCCCTGGTGGTCTAGTGGTTAGGGTGCTGCACTCTCACCGCTGCGACCCGGGTTCGATTCCCAGCCCCCCGGGCAGATGGAACTCGTCAGCCCTGTAAGGCCATCCATCTAAGAGAAGGTCACTCTAAACAAACCTACGTCCTGGGGACCTCACTGCCACTGTCCAAGCTTGCTTGGCCCCGGCAGATGAACCTCAGGATTAAAGGGTGGGCTCAGTTCAGCGCACGCTGTGTCTCACCTAAAAAATCCACTGCGCAGGCTCGAAGGGTTAATGACCTTTCCCAAATCTTCGCTCGCGAAGACTGGCCATTATATTATATTGCTATATAAAAAAAGAAAAAGAATTATTAACGTTTTGCCTCCCCCCCTCCTGCCTTCGGGGTGGTTGTTAAAACCTTGTTGATCCGTGTCTGCTTTCTGGGGGAAGCTTGTTTTGTGGTTTGTTTTAGATTTTTTTTAATGCAATATTCAGGTTGAAGGCAGCTATGGTCAGCCAATGCTGAACAGATAGCACCAAGACAGTTTTTCTTATCACATTGATATGTAGATGGCTGTTTTCTCCGTGATCTGTCTGAAATAGTATTTTACTTCAAAGGCAACAAATTTTCACCTATAAACCTAGTCCTGGTTTCTGCTTAGTGGTGGTGCTGTTTGTGGCTCTTTGGGGCAGATATGATTTATTGGACTCCACACTTAATAGAAAGAGTTGATTCTATTGGATCTTGTATGCTTTGAACCCTAGTGTCATCCTGTGTATTTTTTTGTCTAGTCTATTAGTAGAAACAATGTTCATTTTGAAGGAAAGATTTGGATTATGTGTAATTAAAATGAAAAAGAAAATAGGTGAATGCTCAGAAATCAATTCAAATTGCATGAAAACGGTACATTTTTTCCTTCTTTTTTGTATTTGGAAATAAAAAATAATTTCTTCCAAATTAACTAAGTCTAAAAAGTGCTGTTGCTATTTGATTCTATTTCTGTGTGCACAATTATTAGGTGACATGCTGCTATCAATATTGTGCTTTTGTTTTGGTGTGATGCTTAAACTATAGGAAGAGGAAGATGCAGCAGCATTTTGACAAAAAGTATTTTAAATGGTCATAAAACAATGGACTAATGAAAAATTCAGTGAGCCAGGCTTCCTTAAGGACCTTTCACTCATCACCCGTCTAGTTTTTTGGCATATCTGTCTGCCACAGACTTCTTCCTTCCTGTTCCTCCACATCTTTTATCTGTGCCTGACTGCAGTTTCTTTCATGCTGGTGCAAAAACAGGCAAGAGCCGTCTAAGCAGATCTGAGCAGCTTGTGCACAGGGCGGAGATGCAGGTTCCTCGGAAGTATTTATTTCTTATCTGGAACTGCTGATCAGACTTGCCTCCTGAGGAGGTTAATGTTAATGTCACATAGCCAGAGCTCTTCTCAAGCCTTCTTTGACAAATAAATTGCTGTCAGGTTTCTGAAAGACTCTGGCCTTTGCTTAAAAGGGGCCATAAGTTAGGGATCACTCCTCTTCCTTGCTTTTTTTTTTTTTCCTTTCCTTGATGCTGTGATTTGACAGAGTTGAATGTGGCAGGTCTATTCTTACATTCTGCTAAGGGGAGTTTTTAATTATATTTAGGACAAAGTTACATAGAAGAGATTTGTATGAAGAATTTTCTGTAGCTGCTCACAGTCTGAGCTGAAATTATTTTAAGTGTATTGTTTCACTTGTTAAAAATGATATTAGTTCCTCTTCTAGGAGTGATCATTCTTGCTGAGATTGATACTCAGCTGATGTGGACCTGACTGAGCAGTGATTATGTGCCAATATAGACAAGAATGGTGAGCCAACAGGTCAGGACACATGCTAGTGTTTAGTGCAATTGCAAACAGGGTACAAAAGACATTTTCCCTTCTTCTGTTAATAATTTGTAAGAACAAAACCACTTACTGGGGTGCAGATATAAAACCTTTCTGTCGGAAACTATAGATTTTTAAGTGACTTACAGAATGTTGATTAAAAATGGACCACAGGTGTTGCTTTAGATGGAGTTCAATAGCTATGCATGATTCACTCACTATAAATTAAAAATACGGTTTCCATGTAGACCCATATAACTGGGTTAAAGATGTGTAGGGAAGGCTAATTTTCAGATGAATGGGCAGTGTATTGGATTTGATGTGGGCTTTTAATTCAGAGATAGCCAAGTGATAGTCTTGTTACTCTTCAATTTCTGGTATGAGCATTTTGAGCTGTCCACAACAAACAGTTTCTGTGGTGGTGACACAGATAATGGGAGTCTGCAGAGAGTATTAATGAGGAATTAAAAACATTTAGAAAATGATACAGAACATCTTCAACACTAAATAGAAATGGGAAGCTGAGGTGTGGAGTGGTTCTCAGGATGTTTTCACAGGTCATGTTGTTTTGGTCAGTCTCTTCCTATCTGCAGTTAGTGGAGAGTAATACGTGCTCCTGGAAGGCAATTTGGTGTGTGTCTCAGTGTTGAGTTCTGCAGGAGTGTAGGGAAACTGCGGTAGAGATTGTTTGTCTTACTCTCCTTGCACTGTAGGCTGACAGTCCTCTTGCCTGATTTCAGGCATCTCTTTCATAGTAGGATGGATTGGCCTCTGAAAGTGCTTATTTTCTGCTGAAGTGGTCTGGGAGGCGACTCGGAGTTGCTGCCTCATTCAGTGTCCAAAGTTTAGGAGTAATTTTCCTGTTCTCTGCTAGCCCCCTGCCACTCCACAAGTATTTACAAATACCATTTGTTAATGTAATGTTGTGATTTGTCTGTTTTCATTACTGCTAGCATAATTTTTGGAGAATAGTTCAAAATAAATGGAAATAAAGCCAATTTTGTTAATCTCTTGTAGTAAGCTGATATGAGAAATAAAAATATGGAGTTTTTTTATATAAATAGGCGTATCGTGAAGTTGTAAGATATCCAAGTTCCAAGACCTGAAGTTGGGTATCAGGGTCTCTTTTGGCGGGATAAGGGAAATGAGAAAATTCTTAAAATCAAATCTTTTAGGGCCATTTTGTACACAAGGTTCTTCTTTGCTTTGGGCTAAGAACAAAGGAAGATCCATCACCTTTGACAGGGGATGGCTTGCAGCCAGTTGGGATAAAGTGAAAGCCCCTTTTCAGAGAAAAGAAACCCTTTTAGGTAAAAATGAATACATTAAAACTTACCTGAAAAGGGTGGGATTTTGTGAAACTATAAAATATATGGAATTTAAACTGAAGGGGTCTTTTCCCCTGGAAACTCGGTGTGAGAAAGACCCAACACGTTGAATAAATTCTTCCTTGTTTCTTTGTTCCCTAAGTTTATGCCGTCTTTCTAAATTTAAAGAGAGGGATGTTTCCCACAGTTTTGGTGCTGAAACCCGGGAAACCTAAGCCCATCGGCCCCAGGAGAAGGTACTATTGTTCTTGAAAAGTGCACCTGCCTATTTTTGGCAGTTCAGGGACTTGGTGTCTGTTTTGGGTCTGTTGCGGCAAGAAACCTGGGATGGACGGACATGGAACAAAGAGAAACAATGGAAGGACTGGCTAGTAACTTTCAGACTGCAGCAATGTTAAGCTACATACATGGATCCCGGTAAGACTCAAAACCGGTGTATTTTAAGTAAGAGAGTGGGTGTGTTTATTGAGGAAATGGATCTAAGGGGGGAGTTGGAGTCTTTTTCTCTCTTTCTCTTTTTCTATCTAGGCATCTCAGTCTGAGGAGACTGGAATGTTTGCTAAAGAGGATGAGTTATAAGATAGACCAAACTCCTCTCTCTCAGCAATTGTAAATTCAAAATTAAGGGGCTTTAATTGAGGAAGTGTGGAAAAAACAGAAGAAATAACAACCCTTAATTAAAAGATATATGTATGTTGGCAAAACCAGTAACAGAACACAAAAAAACCTAGACAGTGGTCCTAGGAAAAAAAGGTCTGAATGAACACTTCTCTGTCCTTTAGTGCAGCCCTAATCGTGGCCTGCGGGGGGCGCTGTTGGATCGCTGAAGGTGCAGGGCCTGCAGTTCTTGTGGTTCTCAGTTGATGGCACCCCAAAAAGCTCCTCCTTTTCTCCCAGCGAGCACAGAGACTCTCCGATGAAAGCACAGCATGTCCAGGCTGGAGACAAAAGACAGCTCGCAGGCAAGTTGAGGCCAGCAGTCAGGACTGACCAGGATGGGAAGCCAGACAAACAGGCTTCCAGGCCTTCTCTCCAAATGCCCGCACGCAGACCCCCGTCTCCGTCGGACAGAGCAAGCTCCGCTGTCTGGAGCGGCGCTGTGCCGTCCCTGGGTCCCTGGTTCAGAAAGGGAGGGAGGTGCTCTGCTGCATTGTCCCTGGGTCCCTCATTCAGAAAGGGGGGAGACACATGTCAGATTCAGGCAGC